AGCATGGCCATAAAATAATCAATTATATTATCTTTTCTTAAAATTGTACTTATATTTTCGAAGTGTAGCGGTTTCGACGGGATATTGAATTAACCTGATAGCTAGTCCTTCTACGAATGTTTTGCAGCAAATTTCACTTCGTCATCCATTCAAAAGTCTCACTCTCCTCCACAATTGACTGCAATTTCCCTCTTGACTGTCTCACCATTAGAATGTAAACTGTGGATGAAATTCGTCGTATATATGACAACAGGACTGGCCTCGCGTGGCTTTAACCTTCATGTTTGTACTCATGCTGAAAGTGCTGATGGGTTAAGGAGGTGAGGAGGAAACCACTGTCTGTCCATTCTGGATGAGAATTGACTTATGGCTTTCATGACGAGGTGAAGTTTACTGCAGATTGCAAGCCTTAGCTCGCCTAGAGCCGTCCTCAATATCATAGTTTCTGTACGAACTACTTGCCTGAAGCTCGTTTTCATTGCCTATTATTTCCTCGTTCCAACGGAAACCACCTTTTCTTTGTGGCGAACTGTATCTTGCTCTAATTCATATAAGGAGGGTTGCTAAATCCACAGCAATGAACTTCGTATTCGGCCAGTTTGTTGGCCACGGAAAATAGCCATATACCACATGAAATTGTGTGTGAGTTCATGTGTTTTTGTGTTTGTAAGTGGGACACCAACTAATATGATTGCTGTGCTTGCCATATTTTCATCCAGACTCACACAAGACACCCAACTGTCTAGTGTTGTTTCTTGTCCACTTAATTTGAAAATAAAAAATTGCAGAGAGGGCAAGCTAGAATGAGGGCGAGAAAGAGTGGAGGATATAAGAAGGGAATGGGGAGAACGATAGTGTTGAGGAATGTACCTCAGCCTGGCATATCGACAGCCTATTGGGCTACGCTCATGTCGTCGGATGGGCTGTCATACCTGTCAAGGCGCCATGACCCACAATCCGGCATCGTTTGACAGGAAAAAGGGCTCTGATACACCAGAGTTTGGCAGATGCCTGCTCTCCAGAATCTGATTTGCCAGTTGCCGAGTCAGTAGGCTGTCGGAAAGGCTGGCAGTACTGCGGCATTTTATAATATGTACATTCACCCAGTAGCGGCTTGTGCGCACGAGCGTTTTTGTTCACTAGGTCTAGATACCTTGTGTGTGTGCATGTATGTGTGTGGGTGGGTGAGAGGGTGGGTAATGAAATTCCTCTTGTAGGGTAGTCGGATCTGCTGCCACTCTTCCACACGGTGGTACTCGGGTCGACTACCCAACCGGGCGTTCTCTTTTTCTGTCCTGATTGTGAAGGAGGTCGACCCGCCCGCCAGTTCTCCACCCCTACGACTCCCATTTCTCACTGTCGTCCTTGTTCTAACTTTTCACGAGTTTCTATCCTTTCCCTACAGACTCTCCTATTCATCTCGTTCTAGCCGTCGAGACTGTTCTGGAAAACTTAAGGTGGACGTGTGTGTGTATGTGTGCATGTGTGCATGTGTACAGAACTGTGCGCCCCGGCAGCGGATGCAATAGAAGAGGGCATGGGAGCAGATGGGCGTCCGGGCGAAGAAGTCTGGGCCTGTCGAGGGCAAGGGTTGGGACCGAAGAGCTGAAGATTAGGGGAGGCTGGTTGTGTGGAGCAGGTCCCAGCAGGCAACGGAGTAAATGCCTATTGTTCTTTGGGCCTTGGCTCACTTCACGTCATCCATTCCCCTTCTACTTTTCGCCCGCTCTCTCTTCTCTCTCTCTCTTAAGCCCACACTCACACACACACACACACACAC